CGATTGGTCAGTGTTGGCTGTGGTGTCGGCTGAGCCACCCGTTTGGTCGCAATACACCTGTTTGTACGACTCCTTCACTCGTTGCCTGTATTTCACGAGTTTCTCAATGAGTGGCAAACAGTCGTCGAGAAGTCTGTGCGGCTCTGCGGCCAACTCGTCGTCCGATTGGACCCAATCCATGACAGTGTCGGCCAGTGTTTCGGTATTCATATCGACAACTGTTCGCTATTTTGTCAGCACTTAGTGTTCGATAGACTTGTTTTCACTCAAATCAAGCTTTCATTCAATACTTTTGAATATGTTTTTGCATTTCACGTGACGTTCACTGCAATCGTCAAACACTATGAGATTTATTGGACGTTATTTATGGCGGTTTACGAGTGTTTGTATTGCAGTGTAGTATTGGTCGACACAATTGCCCATCAATTATGTCGCCAATTGTTGTGTATAATTACTGAACGCTGCGATTAGTGTCCAATAGATGTCAACACTATTTGCGAGTTTGTGTGAATGAATTTAGTTTTAATTATTTTACAGAATATTCTGTATATTCTGTGCGTTTGTATTAATGATAGGCTTTGCTATGTATTTGTCTGGATATAGAGTATAGCGAATGACTATTAGAAATATCAATGATATGTATTGTCTCTGAAATACAGTACAGTATATAAGATCTCATCAATCATTTAATTATATGTCTTAACAATAATTGAATCATTAGTTTGAGTGACAAAACAAATTGATGTCCAAAGAATCTCTCTCTCTCTCTCTCTCTCTCGCACTCACTCAGCCGTAGAGTAGATAATAGTTGAAGAATAAAAACATAACACATATTTCATTGAAATATTTATTTATTAATTTATAATCAATTTATAAAATTAGAAATCATTTAAACAAATAGTATTTTTATCACAAAAATAGCGGTACAAAGAAAATTGAGAGACAATTCGTATAATAAATCAAATAAATTACTTAACAACAGATTAATTGCAATTTTAGCTCTCATTTAGAAATCACATTAAAAAACCGCAAAACACTCATTGGACGGACAGACAGACGGTGTACTGTTGGTCGAGATGTAGGTAACAATCGCTGACCAAATAGAAAGTATAGATGAGTGGCCCGACGGGCGCTTCGGCCGGAGTCGTAAACGTGAGCGTGTGTTGAGTTTTACCGGCGATGGCGCCGACGCGGCGCAAAGCCAACAGCTCGCGGCGCTCGGTGTCGCCCAAAATGGCGAACCAGTTCTCGTCCTTCGGCTTCGGGAACTTCGGGGCGACGGCGCGAACACCACTCGAACGGCCCGCACGCTGTCCACCACCGCCGCGGGTGTGGAGCCGTTGGAAGTCGCAAACGAGCGCGTATTCCGTGTCCCTCTCGACGCGGATCGGCTGCTGTCGGTGTGTCGGCCCAAACACGGCGTCCATCGGCACCGGAATGCACTCGTTCTTCTCGGTGGGCGCGTCGCTCGACTCGGCGCCCGAGCTCTGGGTCTTCACGACACTCAACGCCACGTCAATGAGCGGCAGTTTGACGAGCGTTTCGTACAATGTCTTCAGCGCCGACTGGTCTCTCAAGTGTGGCTTCAATAGGCGTTGCAGCGCTTGGAAGCCCTGCGACAGAGCCGTACGGACCAGCAGTGGTAGCGATCGTAACTCCTGCGGTAGGGCTGCGGCCGTCTGGGCGCTGATGTCGGGCAGTGTGAGCACCGGGTTGTCGTAGTGCCACCGGCACTGCACTATCATCTGCAGCAGTGTTACAATGCGGAGAACGGCGGGCAGAGCGCCGGCCAGAGCCGCCACATCGATCATCGCTTGCGTGACACGAATCGCCTGATCTAACACCGACTTCAAGTCCGTGAAGTAGTCGGTGTTTGGCAACGATAGGCGAGTGATGTGCGCCTGAAGTAGTAGATTGGCTTTGGTGTGCGGGCTGTCCATCGGGTGACGCGACAGTTTGATGGGACAAGTGGTGGCCAAAGTGGCGTTCAGTATGTCCTCGTTGTGACGGACGGGCAGTTCGTTGTACTCGTAGGCGTTGCATAGGGTGTCCAATACGGCGCCGAAGTCCGGTTCGGCGTACGGATCGCCAAACGCCTCGTGAAACGAGCGGACAGTCGAGTGATGGATGTAATAGAAGGACGCGATTCGGCCCAATGGTGTGGCCGTCAGTGTCCGCTCGTCCGTCTCATCGATAGTAAGGCATAGATCGGCGCACAATGTGTTCAACGAGTTGTCGATGACTTTGGATAGGAATCGGTTCACGTCGTCGGGCTCTACGCTCTCTAAGCCGTAATAATTGGGATTCTTCAGCACTCGACGGAACAGATACGTCCAGTTCAGGTACTCGACGGCCTCCTGACGGGTGTGGACAGTGCCCGACACGATCTCGGCGTTCATGTGATCCGTTATGACCGACAGCAGCTGCGACTCCACGGGAAACGGTTCGTAGAGGAACTTCTTGTAAAACTCTTTCTTCGTGTCCTGAACTAAGACAACTGCCACTCCTGTGGTGTCGAATTGCGGTCGACCGGCGCGACCCATCATCTGCAACACATCCGTGATGGGAAAGTCGACGTACCGGTGCTTTTTGCCGTCGAAATACTCGGTCCCCTTAATAATTACCTGCAAAATGCCAAAAAAATAGCGGTAAAAACAATTGTGGACACAAAACACATCATTATTTCTTACCGCGTGAGCCGGAAGGTTCACACCCCAGGCCAGGGTTGCCGTCGACACCAACACTTGTATTTTTTGATTGCTGAAGAGCTCCTCCACCAGCGCTCTGTCCCGTTCGTGAAGACCCGCGTGATGTAAGCCAATGCCGAAGTCAAGCGTTGTCCTCAGCGACGAGTCCCTCACGTTCTGGACGAGTGCTGTCATCGCCTGGCGATCCATATGGAGGAACCGGTCGTTGTCTCCATCCGCGGCCAGACATGTCATCAAATCAAAGGCCGTGAGTCGCGTCTGACGGCGAGACGAGACGAATATGAGCACCGGTTTGACCGGTGAGTGCTGAAGAATGGCCCGATAGGCGGGTTTGTTCATCAGCGCCATACGGGGGCAGTAGTTCTTGCCGGGAAAGCCCGCCACGTGAACCTCGATGGGCACCGGCCGGACGGAGGGCTTGAAGTTGTAGAGACCCACGCGTTTAATGTCCAACCAGTTGGCCAAGTCTTGGGCGTTGGCGATGGCGGTGGACAGACCGACAATACGGATCCGTTGGCGACTGTTTTGTGTGATAAAGTTGGTGCGCGAGACGATCACTTCGAGCACAGGGCCGCGGTCTTCGCCCAACAGGTGGATCTCGTCGATGACAATCAACGCCACGTCGCGCACGTACTTCCTCTGCTGCCACGAGCGGCTGATGCCGTCCCACTTCTCCGGTGTGGTCACAATCACATCGGCGGACATAATGGCGCGCACGTCGGGCGTCACGTCGCCCGTCAACTCCACCACATGTCGGCCCATCTGTTGTTCAATCTTCTGCTTCCAGTCGTCCACCCGTTCCCTGACGAGCGCCTTCAGCGGCGCGATGTACACCACTTTGGCCGCCGGCCGTGTGTTAAACGTGCGAAACATCGCGATCTCAGCGCATATGGTTTTGCCCGAACCGGTGGGCGCGCCGACCAACACATTGC